GAGTCCAGTACTACCAAGCTGTTCTCTCATACAAGAGAGTTGCATTCCAGTGGAAGTCGAAATCTTCGTAGCAGTATCGATCTAGAACAGCGACCACCATCACGACGACCGGCCACATCTCAAAGCACTCAGAGCAAGACCAGCACGATCAGATCTTTTGGACGGGCGATCAGATCCACCATCCGCACAGTCACACCCATCGGACAACACTCATCACCTGATCCAGGCCCTATCAGTCGTGTGGATGGCACGAAGGGAGTAAATCGAAAAGAGGAAACGATGCCTTCGTCGGGCAGCACGCCTGAGTCTGATGATACACAGACCGATAGTGATGGAGCTGAGCGCAATTGTGCCGTTCAGATGTTTACTCCAACGACATCGCAAATTGAGAAGCGCATAGAGAGAGCCAAAGACCGTTGGAAGACTCCCCTGGACGAGGCAGAGCACGTCCAGTTTCCGCGTGAAACTGGCAGAACTTACGATGTCCCAACGTGTGTTGAGCGCACTGATGACTTCACGAAACCGGCTGTTCAAGATGACAAGGAAGCTGCACCAGGCGCTCGTGGCATGGCAGGTCAATTCCCACGGAGACTGCCTGTTTCGCCCAGAGTATCCGTGTCACCAGCTTCTCACACTGCCATGACGCCAATGTCTCCCAGCATCTATTCACGAAACACAGATGGCGTCAGCATCCTTCCTAATGACAGTGTCATGTCTTTCGGAGGGCCTGGTGATGTTGAGCAGCCTCAGGACGGCGGCTCGGCAGTCGTTTCAACTAGTCGGTCAATAAGAAGCTACGTTGTAGGCACGCCTTCTCCCCACCGGCGCGAACCTACTCGGACTAGTCGTGACTGGAGAGCTTGGCTGTCGCATGAGATATCTGGTATGGAGCTCACCAGTCAAGAAGATCTGAGGATTCATGATCGGTATACCACTCCCTCAAAGAAAGTCAGACCAGATTCGAGCCGTACATCACATACAGAACACGAAGACACGACGGTGGTTCTCAGGGGATCGCTCGATGTTTCCACGCCCCGACCGCATGCCGAGGATGCATGTGAGAATACTGAATTGACTGTTACTCGCGCAGAAGATATCAAGCGTCGCGATGACGATGGCGCACGTGCTGCGACGTCAGACGCGGAGAGGTCTTCGTGGCACATCAGCACTCGCGACGGCAATCATACCCCACTTCGACAGATTGGTGATACTAAGAAGCTCATCAAACACTCTCAGCCGGGATCAAGGCCTCTTCCGAACAGGCAACATCTACTGTCAACGCCCGAAGGCCACGCATCTAGATCGCGCCCGACTTTTGAAACGCCAGAACTGCTTTCAAGAAATGACCGGTTCTCTTTCCTTGATACTGATCGGCGCGCCAGTAGCAACGTCCTTGGATCGGCTACTGAGATCAATTTGCTGGGCAAATCCCAATCCTCGCCCAAGTCGACACCTGATCCAAAAGCTACTACCAGTACATCTGCCCCAGCCACCAACGAAACAACACAGCGCGTACCAATCACCACCCTAAAGAGGAGCCCCGCGCGGAAGGAGAACGTCACTCCTCCATCCCTTCGTAGTCAAAAAGGTTCCGCCATCTCCCCGCTAGGTCTATCAACGCGACCAAACTCCCAGCAACTACTGTGTACGCCCCGCCGTAACTCACCCAGCACCAACGTTCACACCCTTGAAACACCCTCAGCAAAGAAGAATGCCAGCTCAGCAGAGATAGTAACGCCCCTCCGTCCTCGTATCCGCGCAACATTACGGCCCATGTCACCCGAAAAACTCGCTCGTAGACCGCGAAGCGCTTTCGACCTCCGCGGCTCCAACAACACAGGTCGTCCCACCGTCATAGACATGGATAACTACTCTCCACTCCCTGGCTCAGAGCTCCGCCGTCCAGCACTAACACTGAAAACTTCGACCAGCTCGTTGGCTATGAGTAAAGAACCGTATCCCGAGAGCAGAGTTTCTGTTGGGAGGGGTATTGAAAGTGTGCTTGGCGGTGAAAGCCCTGGGAACGGAGGCAGGGATGGCAATGTAACACCAGGTCAGCGAATGGCCGACAAGTTTCTAAGGCAGAGAAAGAGTGAGAACGCATTGTCGCCAGGTGGAAGCGCGGGAAAGCAGAGTCTGAGGGGCGGGTTGGTGTTGGTTAGGGAGGATACGCCAGCGTTCTTGTGACCATACAGTTATCTAGAGATATGTGTATCGCGACAGAGATATGGCGATGGGACTCTTTGGATACACGTAAGGGCGGATATGCATGACATGGGGACGGGTAATTGGATGGGCTTGGATGGGATTGGGAGGCTTTTGGGCGGTGTTGTTGTTCGGTTGGCTACTTGGTATGGTATATGCCCGGTATCTTGTAGTTTTGCTGGTATCAATGCAATTACATCTTTACATGTTCGCCATTCTATATGCACATTTCGAGAATTACATATACACAATAACAGGGTATTTTACTACAAAGGAAAAACGCTGATGTTGAATCCACCTCTTATCTCTCATCCCATCCCATCACAACAACTCCCCTTCCTCATCCAATCCCCCTTCATCCTCTTCCTCCTCGAAATCCATATCCGCCGCCGCCTCATCAGCCTTCCTCTGCACCTCCTTCAACCCACTCATCTCCTCAACCCAACCCCTCTCATTCAGCGCCCTAGCCACAAACTCCCAAGGATCCTTATTATACGCCTCAAGCACCCTGTCGCTACACGCAGAGCAGCAGTCGTAGGGCTTACCTTCGACTTGCAGGTTCGAGAAGGTGGATAGGTAGCCGCGTATTGTATGGGGAATTGTACCGAGGGGGTGTTGGAAGGGTGGTGGTAGCGCGGGATGTGAGGGTGCGGGTGTGGGGGCAGTGTTGTTCTTGCTTTGGACGGAGGGGGGTGCTGCGCGGGCTTGGGAGGGGTGTTGCAGGATGGACATGAGGAGTTCGACGAGGAGGGAGGAGGCGAGGGGGGCGACGCCGGGGCGGGTTACGGTGCATTGTTGGTCGAGGGTTGCGTTGCTTAGGGACTGTTTTGTTGGGGTTAGCGGTGTGGATTTAGTGGAGTGGGATGAGAGAATTTACGTCTGCGGGTGCGACGACGTCGTTGCAGAAGTAACATCCTAGTTCTACTTCTCCCCTTCCTTCTTGCGTCGTCTTCAGGCCGTGGCGCATGACTACGTAGGTGTCGAAGCCTAGTGCGGCGTTGAGGACAATCTTCCCGTAGGCTTTGCCCATGACGGTTGGCAGCCATCTACTCTCTCGTGTGTCCATGAGTAGAAAGATGGCGTCGTGTTCGCTGATCAGCTTCTGTAGCTTCTCAAACTCGGCTTTCGTCTTCGCGCTATCAGTCATCGGGTGACCCAGCATCGGTACCTCCATGACGTGCCCTTGAGCGTCGACGCCTGGATATATCTCTTGAAGAGCCTCCGCCGCTCTTTCGGCCTTCTTTGCGCCGCCTTGTAAACAGTCGTTGAAGTTGAAGAGAGGCTGTCGTACGGGGTTGGAGAAGCTGACTGTGGCGTTGTCGATGAATGTGATTTTCCTTACGCCCCAGCCCATCAGCGTTCTTGAGACGTAGGTGCCTAATGTTCCCGCTCCGAGCAACAGACACTTGCAGTTCTTGATCACGTCCAGGTCGATGGTAGGAGCTATCCGCCACTTGATCAGCTTGAGGTTGAGGTCCACAGCCTGATCTGCCAGTTTGCGCTCGTCCATGTATTCGGAGAGGTCCACGTTGCGCGATGTTAATTTACCTGACTCCGTCCGTTCCCAGCCGGTTACTTTGGGCAACTTGGGTGTCTGTGGGCGAGTGTCTGGTGTTTCGGACGTCGGCGCTGCCTCGGGTATTGTGTCTGATCGTAGCTGTAGGATCAACGAGTTGGAGTGATCACGTCGTGTGTGGGTGTCGCGATAACACATGATTTGAGCGTCGTTCAGGTGCCACCGATTTCGCATCAGCACGAGCAAGTTGCGAAGAGGCCAGCCTGGGTTGGTTTCGTATGTGGAGGGGTCGGCGAAACATATGAAGCGATCTTTGCTATCCACCTTGTCGAAGAAGCCCTTCTCGTAGGCCTCCAATCTGCCTATAGACCATGTGTATCCAAATTCTTCCAGAGGTGAGACGGGCGTTTTCGGCCTCTCCTCTGGATCGCCCCCTCCTTGTATGCGCTTGGCTAGGAAGAAGCCTCTTTGGCGGACGTCTGAGCTGTATCGCCACGTCTGCACCGCGTCTACCAGGTATGTAGTCTCTCTAGTGTGTAGCCTTGTTGCCTCCCCAATCTGCTTCCACGGTGGATCTGACTGTATGGCGGGGAAGCCAAAGTGGTATGTGAACTTGTACTTCTTGAGGTTGGCGAAGATGATGGCTGTGAAGGAGGAGAGGAGGGAGGGGCATTCGTATATCGAGCCGTCGTGGATAGCGTCCCATATCTATGCCGCGTCAGTTTTGATCGCAGAGGGAGATGATGGACGTACTGTTTGGGCGCATCGCTCCAGTATGGCGGCGCGATCGAGACTTTTGTAGTCTTCTATGGTGTTGCAGTTCTTTATGATGCCTTCGGCGCGGCAGAATGTTGGAGGGGTATCGTCCGATGTCAGCGCATTCGGGTGTATCTGTACTCGCATAGATCGCGACGAGTGCTCTCCAGGACGGACTTCGTATAGCCCGAGCACCTTGCGCGCGGAGTCGTCGAGTTTGTCGTGGTTGATTTTGATGTGTGCCAGAGCGGCATAGAACTGAACGTCGACATCACTCAGCCAGGGCGCAAACTTGAGGGTGGACATAGTGGGCGGTAATAGTATGTGGTGGGGTTGCGATGAGACGGAGTGGGGATGCGTGGCGAGGCGGAGATGTAGTATGCAGGGGATGTGTTCTAGCAGGCGATGATGATGGCAGTCATACGCAGAAGCAATACACGTGCAGCTGTCAAGGGCGGCTGCATGTGACAGTGAATGTCCCAGTGATGCTGAGGCAGCCGCACGCTTCACCCCGCGCACCGTCATGGGTCCAGCCCTGGAGTCTTGGGCGAGGCCCCGCCACGCTAGACGCGTTCCTGCAGCCGACCACGCGCTTACCCGCTGTTAGCAATCCGAGATTCGATCCACGAGTCCGCCCTTGCTGTTCCCAGGTTACAGCACATTTGGACGACATCTATCGCTATGCTTATTGGATTGTGCGGAGGCAAGCACCGTCCGGAATCACATGAGACGAGGCTGACAGAGCACAGGAATATGCGCGGGCAAGTCGTCGATAGCTTCGTACCTCATTGAGGAGCACCAGTTCACCCGCCTACGCCTGGCCCGAACTGCTGAGACGCCTCCAGAAGAGAAGTCAGCTTCCAACACACGTGTGCCTTCGCCGGTCAAGTCGTCCGTAGACGCACAGCACACCTTCCCGAACATCGATTCGCTACTCGATTTCGTCACGCTGAGGTGGAGAGAACGATTCGTTACAACGGACATATGGGACGAAACGGTGGTTGATGCCCTTCTCAGACGTCCTTTCTTCCTCCTCGTCAGCGTCGACGCGCCTGTCAGTGTGCGATGGCAGCGGTTCAAGGCCCGATGTGCTGCCACCGACCACACACCGCCTACTCTCGAGGAGTTCGTTCTACGCAACGACGAACACTTGTTTGCTCCCAGAACAGGCCTAAGCGCCCTCTGTCAGAGAGCACAGCTGAAGCTACTCAACTCGTCGTCCGACATGGCTTCCCTGCGCAGTGCCATACTGTTCCTGGATCTCATGGACGAGGCCCGCGTACGGCCAAGCTGGGACCAATACTTTATGCAGTTGGCAGACCTGGCAGCGCGCAGGAGCAACTGCATGAAGCGACGAGTCGGTTGCTGCATAGTACGGGAGAAGCGTGTGATTAGCACCGGGTACAACGGTACCCCACGTGGCATGACCAACTGCAACGAGGGCGGATGTTCGTTCACACTCGGGAATACCCACGACATAGACTAACAAAGTACAGGCCCCCGCTGCAACAACGCCGCACAGGGAGGTGTTGGTCTCTCCACCTGCCTCTGCCTGCACGCCGAAGAAAACGCCCTCCTCGAAGCCGGCCGCGACCGCATCGGCGAGAACGCCATCCTATACTGCAACACCTGTCCCTGCTTGACCTGCAGCGTAAAGATAACACAAGTCGGTATCAGTGAGGTGGTCTATAACCAAGGCTACCTCGTGGACGACCAGACCGCCAAGATCTTTACTGAAAGCGGCGTCAAGCTGCGCCAGTTCTCGCCGCCTGCGGACGGACTGGTAGATCTGAGCATCGGCGTGGACGCATACAAGCAGGAAGAGGAGAAGGCAGACGATGCCAGGGAACTCCTCGATGATATGAACTTCCTGCGACCTGTGGACAAATAGAACAAGCTGTCAGGATAGACCAGCCAAATAGAAACTAAGCTGCCCGACCCGCATGTAGTCAGATGGGAACGGCTGTTGGCGCGTGGTGGCGCATGGCGGCGTTGCTTAAGACCAACGCCTCACGAGGTGCGACTGCATGCCAAAGCCAAGCCATTTCTTTGGCAACGATATCACGTCAAATCCGACACCTCCATACCTTGTGTTGGCCATCAATCGCGATGCGCATCGTCCAAACTGCGTCGAGCTAGAGTTGGCGTTGGGGTACCGACTATGAAGGGATAGCTACAAGAAGGGCTGGCCATAGCACAGCCTTGCCGGGCAACAACGCCACGACCGCACACGCGACCGTCAGCAATGGTTCGGTTCGCCCGCGTGGCCCTTCTCATATTAACAACCTCAAAAACGCGCAATACTTAGACTTCGCATTCGGCCCATGACGTTTGATCTTAAGTTCCGTAACTCGTTTTGCTGACTTCTCATTTCCCCGCCTCAACAGTACCCTGAAGTTTAACAAGCTTCGGCCCGCCTGGTCGGGTTGAACTTGGGCCTGATGACGCGCCCACGCGGCGCGGTACCAACACCGTCACTATCACGGTCACCGCCATGCGATAGCAACATGAATCTTTCGTAATTCGCTTTACGAAGACATACGGGAGAAATACCGCTTGTCGTCGTCAATGTACCTACGGTAACCGTGCTATCGTCCGTCGCTCCACAAGCTTGACCAAGCCTCGACAAGCATCCGCTTCCGAGGCTTACACTCTGAGCTGGTCTGGGCACAATGAATGCACTAAACTGAGCCGCGGCGAATCAACGCCAAACATCATGCAAAAGTCTCGGTCTAATCTTCGTATAGTCCTGCTTCAGGAAGGTGCCTAAGGCTGTGTTTCTGTTTCCACTGCGTCATCTCGCATACCTCGTTGGTGCTCGCCCTTCGGCTACGAATCTCAACGCGATAGCATGCCCTGCACGACCCGGAAAGTGGCGTTTGCGAGGTTTATTACCGAGCCTTGCTGGTGCCTCCGCCAACCTCCTGCTCTTCCGGGGTAAGCGCAAGGGTCTGTATACCGCAATGCCGTCACGTAGCAAACGTTCAAATACTCGTCTTGGGCCCGGTTCTTCCGTGCCAGCTCACAGCCGCTTTCATCAGTCAATCCCAAGATGAAGCTTCTTTCAGTGGTTGGTTCTTTGCTGTGTGCTTCTACAGCTCTTGCTGGAAGCTCGCCACACAAGCGTGGTGTGTTTGAGAAGGTCAGGCCTGCTGTCGAGAGACGTATGCCGGGAGAGGCTTTCAAGCATCCCGAGATCCAGAGGCGTGCCGAGAGCTTCTTCTTGACCAACAAGACAGAGTGTTAGTATTCATTGTCACACTGTGATACATCAAACTAATAAGCCAACAGCCTTCGCCGTCAACGGTACTGGTATCCCAGAGGTTCCTTTCGACATTGGCGAGAGTTACGCTGGTCTGCTGCCCATCTCGGATGACCCGGAGGAGACGCGAAAGCTTTTCTTCTGGTTCTTCCCTTCGACCCAAGCTCAGACTCCCGAGGAAGTCGTCATCTGGCTCAACGGTGGCCCAGGATGCTCTTCGCTCAGCGGTTTCCTCACGGAGAACGGCCCGTTCACCTGGGAATCTGGCACCCTCGCCCCAGTCCAGAACCCCTACTCATGGACCAACCTCACCAACATGCTCTGGGTTGAGCAGCCCGTAGGTGTTGGCTACTCGCAAGGTACCCCCAACATCACCGACGAGGTTGAGCTTGGCAACCAGTTCCGTGGTTTCTACAAGAGCTTCGTTGACCTTTTCGGACTCTACAACTGGAAGACTTACATCACCGGAGAGTCATACGCTGGTTACTACGTCCCCTACATTGCCGACAGCTTCATCACTGCCGACGATGACAAGTACTTCAACCTTGCCGGTATCTCCATCAACGACCCCATCATTGGTGACGAGACCATCCAGCAGCAGGTTGTCCTCCTCCCCTTCGTGAACTTCTGGCAGAACCTTCTCTTCCTGAACGACACGTTCATGGAGCAGATCACCCAGCACCACAAGGAGTGCGGTTACACCGACTACATGGACAAGTACTTCACCTTCCCCCCACCACAGGGCGCTTTCCCCGTTCTCCCCGACCCATACAGCTCGGAGAACTACACCTGCGACCAGTTCGACAACTTCTACTCCGCCATCCTCGAGGTGAACCCCTGCTTCAACATCTACCACATCACCGAGACATGCCCGCACCCATACTCCCAGCTCGGCATAGTCAACACCGGCGACTACTCGCCCCCAGGCGCCGAGATCTACTTCAACCGCACCGACGTCAAGATGGCACTCCACGCCAACGTCAGCACCGAGTGGCTCCAGTGCACCAACACCAACGTCTTCGGCAACGGCGACGACGAAGGTTCCGACCAATCTCCTGGCCCCGCTAACAACGGCGTTCTCCAGCGCGTCATCGAGTACACCAACAACACCATCATCGGCTCCGGCGACCTCGACATGCTCCTCAGCACCAACGGAACCCTCTTCGCCATCCAGAACATGACCTGGAACGGCGCCCAGGGTCTCTCCGAGTACCCCACCACCCCTCTGTACGCTCCTTACCACCCTGAGTACAACGGCGGTGCGCTTGCCGGCGCCGGCTACCAGGGTTACTGGACTGCTGAGCGCGGCATGATGTTCTACACTGCCCGTCTTGCTGGTCACGAGCTGCCCGGCTACACTCCTGGTGTCGCGTACCGTATGTTGGAGATTCTGCTTGGTCATATCAAGGACTTTAGCAGCACTGAGAACTTTGTTACGCAGACTGGTAACTTCACTGGTACTGGTACTATTTACAGGAGGGGTCTTGGTATGGGTAGCATGCAGTTTTAGATGTGCATGAGGAAGATGTGATGATTTAAGGGAAATGTAGATGGAAATTTAAATGATACCACCATACTTAACTTGCATACCAAGTGTATTTGTGTGATGAGCGTGATCTTATTCGAGGGGTAGATGACTCCTCAGTGGACGGTTGTTGGAATGCTGCACTTGACATTGTGCTGTGCTGTGTTTTGGTTCCGCAGATGACTCGAGTCGGATCCAATCGCCGCCGCCGCCGCCTAAAGGCCCCCACCACACAAATTTTCACCACACCAACAACGTCATCCAGGAACGACCTGAATGCGTTGAGCTCATTGAAGAAGCGCACACGCTGATGTCACCACATGCCCAATACTGGGGTTATATGCGCCCAAATTTTGAGGTTTGCCATCAACCACCTACTCAACTATCAAGTTGGTCAATCTTCAGTAGTATAGTGGTCAGTATTTCCGCTTGTCATCTTGCAAAAGACAACTCGCGGGAGACCGGGGTTCAATTCCCCGCTGGAGAGCTTTCCTTTTTGCTCTTCCTACCTCCCGTAACCGCCCACAGTCCTGGTGCATGGCGTAGATACGTGATTAGTGATCATGTACATGCTTTTTGCGCACCACGAATAGTGGATAGAGTTGGAGTGGAGTAGTCTTGGGATGCACAGGAACTGTATGCGGTATGTCAAATGTTGTTTTTGCAATAAAGTCGTCTTGGTGGCTCGGTTAGGTCTGCGGGTTTGGAAATAGACCGCGGAAGCTAGGGGAAGTAGATGCAGAGAGCTTTTAGTCTAAGGGTGCATAAGAAGTGTATTATGTACATGGAACGTTGTATGTTGTTTTTGCTGAGAAGGGTGTTTGGGGGTTTTGGTCCGTGGTTTTGGGATGACGGCGACCCGTGGACCGCGCAAGTATGTCATGCAAGGCGGAAGACGCGGAAGACTAGGGATACGCGGTTTAGATGGTGCTTTTGGGGACTATAGAGTGCGCTACTTGGGTTATACATGTGCTTCTTCAATCTGGACTTGTGCGGATGCATTGTGAGGTTTATCGGGGCGGGCTAGGTGCGCGGCAGCGCGATGTTGCGGGAGCCCCGAAGTGTCCCGCCTGGCCGCCTGCACCACAAGTGCCTAACCATCGCCTATGCGACGGCTTAGCTACTGTGCATGCCGCGAAGCAGGTATGATTGCTTCACTGAAGGCGCATCGATCTATAGGTAATTCGAATACCAGACTGAACGCGACGAAGCTTTGTAAAAGCAACCACCATTCTTGGAAGGACGACACTGCTGCGCTGTTTGGAATGAACAGCAACTTTACCCAGTTACCAAACGCAGGCACGTATCGGAGCAAACCATGCTCCTATTCTACAACATGCCCGTGAAGCCATTGAGATAGTATACTAGCGAACAGATTCAATGTCGTTGCAGCTAATGCGAAAGTTCACTTTTACCCAGGTAATCCTCGCAAAACGCCTTTCAACCTGGAGCGGACAGCATTTGGCGTACTTTGAATCCTTTTGTTAGAAAGACATGAAATAGGCGAAGTTCTCTTTTTTTGTCGCTCTTTAGAAGTCTAGCTTGCGTGAGCGAGGTAGGGTTTTTGGAATTTGCATCGAAGATAGGAGGGAAGGAGCTGGCACAGCCATTCATCTTTGCAAATACCCTTTTGGTCTTTGAGCGGATTGAACTGGGCATAGCGCAGCAAAAATTTCAAGTCGATGAAGGCATTTTGGAGAAATAAAGCCTTTGGATGGATGAGGAGGGAAAATGGACAGCGGAAAGATGCGGGGTTTTATATACAGCCGCAGCATCGGACGAGCTATCGACACTTTCAATTTCATCATCAAGAAGAGGGGAAAGAAGCGAAGGCCAGTCATGGATAGCCATTCTCGATGTTTTGGTATTATATTTTTAAGAACTCCCGACAGCACAGAGAACATAAGGGTTTTACTTAACTATTTTAGAATATAACTCTATTAAGTAGATAAGAAAGAAAGACTCTAAGTATTATAATATCTCTTATTTAATAAAAAGTATCTTTTGCGTATATAGTAGTTATATAATTTAAAAGTTATAAGTAGCTTATTTTACTTTATATTATTATAGTACTATAAATAAAATAAAAAAGAACTAAAATATT